CTCATTTCATTTTCCTCCACCTGTCTACATCTGTCTTACTTTTCAGTGTTTGGTTCTGTCTTTGTTGGAACAATTTTGTTTTTATATTTTTTCCTCTGGCAGATTAATTATTGTTAAATCTATAGGGGCGGGTTTGGGGTTTTTTTTGGAGGGGGGGGGGTTGTTTTTTTGGGATTTGTTTCACAGCAACACAGACTGCTTGGCGCACAGGGCGGCCCCGATAAGTCAATTGCCGTCAAGCTGGACAACGGTGCGGATGACCGGGGTTCAAATCCCGAACTGGGCTGTTTAAGGGCTTGAATGGAATGTCATTGACTCGCCATCCTCTTATGTTGAAAGGAGCATTAAACTCATACCGTACCATACAGTTTAATCATGAAAGAGCCATAACAGGATCGGATTCTTAAAATCATGGGCGTCTAGCGCCGATCGCAAGGACGAACAAATTATATCGAGAAAATCTGAAGAGAAGTACGTTAAACAACAATTTTAACACATGGAAAGGGTGTATACATCTTTCATGTTGATCTTGATTCTGTTGTGTGATCTATTTTGCCGAATTAATGAAACGATGTCTCGAATGTTCCACCTCGACAAAAACTTAACACTTCATGTTTTCATAGCGGCACATTGGACACGTTCCACAAGGAAGTACCAGCCTGTCAAATACTAAAGACAACTTTCACCAAAAAGACCTCCACTTTCTCTCGGGGAAGCGTCCACGCGAAATAATATGTGCGTGACCTGATTTAAACGGATGAAAACGACTCAGTCCCTTTCATGGTTGTTGGTTTCCAAAGTGACTTCAAGCTTCGGGTTCTTTGCTTCCTTGTTTATTTTGTTTTGTTTTGTGTTCTTCATTCTATTGGGGGAGGGGGTGTTTTTAGGGGGAAAGGGGTTTTGCTTGTTTGTTTGTTGGGGGAGGGGAGGGGAGTTTTTGTTTCTTCTTGTTGGGTCTATTTTTGTTTTTTTCGGGGTGGGGTGGGTGGTTAGCTGATGCCGGACGATTGTTGTTTTACAATATCACCCAAACATCTGAAAGTATGAAAGTGTTCGCACTGGCGCCATCCTCGCTCTAAAAAAAGAAAAACTAATAAATAAAATGAGAGCTCCGGGGGTCGATGGGAATCCATGTATTGTGCACGCACGGACAAGATCGCTTTTTCCGTCGTCTCCGGAAGTGGGGAGTCCGCTGGGGCGCGGGGAACAGCGTTGGTTTGATGTTCAACGAGATAGAGTGTAGGGAGAGCTCTCTCTCTCTCTGTGCGGCCCTTTGGCCCGGGAAGAGTTGAATGAGGGGGGACATCGTGTAGGATTGCGACAGTGAGAGGGCTTTTATACAACGGAGCTCTATTATCGAATGCTTTAATACCCCCCCCCTCCTTTCATCTCTCTC